GGTCTAAGGGACAAGTGACAAATGCCACAATCTATGGCATGCTAGTGAACCTCTCACCTGCCCATGTTCTTGTTCCTTGGGTTGGCATTAAGCAAAAGAGGCTTAAGTATTAAAATAATGACAGTAATATTGATTTATGTTTTTAGAATATTAGACAGACTTAGCTGTTAACCAATACTCCATTTTTACATGGATTATATTATTTAAGAATTGGGTCTCCTTTGACAGATTATTAAGGATATATCTTACATGAAGTGATGTCTTCATCCATAATCTATGTGATCCTTCACATGTCTCTGTGATGCTCTCAAATGTGTCCAAATCATTTTACATAGAAAAGGCACAAGAGTCTTAAAGAATGGGTTAGGAAAGTGCTCGGACTGAAGACGCAGGTCGCTGATTTGGGCTCTCACTCCTCCGTTATCTGTATGCCTCCCGAGCTGCTGCAGCACAGGTTCCCAACATCCTTTTAGGTCTGCAGTTTTACACCTGGGGAAGTGAGGGGTTCAGCTGATGACACTTATTGTGAGAATTTGGTGTATAAAATAGTTTTTTACTTAAAGTTAGTCTAACAATATGTTGTTATCATTCTGCTGCAAGTTTTTTTATATTACTCTTCAAATTAAAACTTAATTTTTATGCATGTCCTGAAAGGAGAAATAAAGATGATAATTATTGAGTCTGTACACTGTCTCAGGGGGGATTAATTACTTTCTATTTCATGCAACCAAAGGCAAAACTATTAGAAAAAAAAGAAGGCTGGGTATTAAGGAAGCTAAGTTGTGGCAATCTTGTTATTCTTCTTTCATGATACTTTATTTCTCTACAAGATACAGTGAAGAAAATTTCAATCTTTAGTTCCTGAAGAATGGGAATTTTAAATCTTTAGTCGTGGATTTTTAGATGTTTTCCACTTTATTTAGTTCTTATGAATGACTTACTAAACTGGGCTTTTTAGGTGGTAGGTGACTAAGGGTGCTTTTCTAGGTAGTTACATCACTGGAATCGGATTTCCCAATATCACGAGTTCTTTATGGAGAAAGGCAAGACAACTCAGTACACACAGAGCCGTGACATCTGCACTACCCAGAAACAAGTTCCATTCCAGGTTGTTCTGCTAAGGACATTTGTGTTAGTTGGCTTTGGCTTACCATGACAAAATAAAAGGGACAACAAGTTACGAATAAGAAAGGTTTATTTTTGTTTATTATTTCTGAGCTTTTAAAACATGTTTACTTGACCTATTGCTTTTATGCCTGGGATGAGACAGGATGCCACAGCGGGTAGTATATAGCAGAGAAACCTGCTTATTAAAATGTGGACAGGAATCAAAAGACAGAGACAGAGAAGAGGTGGAATTTGATATCATTCAAAGGTACATCCCACATTAATATAACTTCCTTCCACCAGACCCCAGCTTTCAAGAGTTCTACATCCTTCTTGTAACAGCATAGATGGTGATCAAGCCCTTAGCAGAAGGGTCTTCAGGGGATGCTTACACAAGGTATAGCAGAATGAGAGGAGAGAATTTTGAAGAAAACTTTTTGGGACGCAGAAAGCAGGCTGGAGTATAAGTTTCTGCCTTGAAAATTTATTTTGCATTTTTATATCTTTCCATGTCTCTATTGAATAACTGCTACAAGGGACTCTTTCAGTATCACTGTAATTTGACTTATGATTTCATCTACTGGAACACAAACAGCACCATTTATTATGATCTCCTATCCAGAAGTCAGACTAGGTAACTACATGTGCATTAATTATACTAGCACCTCTCTTCAGCAGCTTCACTTTCTAGTACTAATTAGATATGGCTTTTCAAAATTGCAAATCATAGATGAGGTTGATTTTGCCATTTATGGCCTATTTCATAGCATGGTATATTCTTTTAAGTTGAGATGAGTTTTTCCAGAGTCATTGCTCGAAGAAATCCAGGCTATAATATCACTTGCAAGATGTATTATATGCTAATATAGTGTTTCTGCAGCTACCATTTCAGTTACATCAACCATCTAAAGGTAACCTGCTATTTTTTAAAAAAGTAAATTGCTTGGTTTGGGTGTGCTTGTAGCTATCATGGTTAAATGTACATGCAATTTTTGCATACATTGTTTTGCAGGGTACACATTTGTTTTTGTGGCTTGCATAGAATATGGCAGAATAAGTTTAGAAATAGAACATAAAAATAGGTATAAAAACTGTCCTGCCATCAAAGTCCCAAATAAAATAGGACATTGTGTTTTCTTAGAGGTCAGTCAACAACTACATACTCATTTTGAGTGCAAAGCGCTGCTTGATCTCAACAACTCATATTGCCTGTTTCCCAAATATGTGATATTAAATGACTTGATCAAACAGCTTGTCTGGCAAAGAGCAGATAAACCCCTCTCTAAGTGGTGAAGATGAACCTACTTTGAAAACACATTTAGAAATCAACTTACAAGATCAAGGTTATTCCAATGTAGCTTGAGTATAGGAAACAGATAAAGAAAGACCTGAGGAAGGGAGACAAGAAAGCTCTTGGAGTGATTGAGAAGAAAATTAAAACGCCCAGAGTAAAGCACAATCTCGTGTTACAAGACCATGCCTTTGTTACAGAGTCCTTTCCTTAAAATCATTGTATCTACTTTTCCTCATTTTCCTCGTCATTCTTTTTCGAGGATGTGTGTGTGTTGCTGTGGTTGTGTTTCTTCACCCAATGTCTTTGTACTTTCTCGGACGCTATCAGTTATTCTATACTTCCCTTTCTCTTCTGGAGTGAAAACACACTTCGATTAACCTCTCTTAACCCATTCAGATCTGGTCTCTCGTGTGTTACTATGATTTAGTTCTTCTTGTCTCTGTCCACTGGATTGTGCATACTTTCCTCTATTTGCTGTAAGTCAGCCCTCCCATTTTACATCTGTAAATCATTCACATGCAAGACTGAGACGAGACTTAAAAATCTTAATACAATAATTCAAAACAACATATTGCTATCAGGTATTTGATTGTCTGGGAAATAACAAACAAGTCCACTTCATCCTACAATAAAACAAGATAAATTTAGACTTAACCATGACTCTAAACTTTTTGTTTTTGTTGTCACTTTTACAATTTTTTAATGTTGGTTCAATAGTCATTTGAGTTTAGAGAAGGTGTTGTATATTTACAGCAGTATTTGACTTTAATTATACAGTTTGACAAAGATAAATGAGATCAGTCCCAAACTTAATTCCTCTGTATTTTCACTTATTAATGTATTTCAGATGGATCCCTTGAACTGGAATACATGCGCTTAAAGTACATACATGTAGAATATAAGTATTCCATTATTTCTAGTGGTTGACTTTAGAATTCAGCTCCTCAACTAGCAACATCTAGGGTCTGGTATCTGCTACCAGGGTGCTTTTCCAAACATTCTTCGTGCTACTTTCCTGAAAATAGTTATTAACCCATTTCTCATTTTTTATAACCAATTCCATACATGACCCTGTTAATCTCTCTTATTTAAACTAGGATTGTATTGTTAATTTTTGTTTTATTGTCTAATCAGTTATTTGAACATTAACTTTGAGATGACCAAATCTCCCACGCCTAGAAGTAGTATTTCAAACTTCTAAATGCCATTATGTCCTTTGTATATATAACTGAAGCTATATCTTACATCTGGATCAACACTTTTTTTCTTTAAATGCTGCTGAATTTTATTTATTTATATTTTTGAGAATTTTGGACTCTAGTAATATATATATACTATCTTGATCTTTTCACTTCCTTTTCCTCCCTCCTGTGTCATCCCACGCCAGGATCTTCTTTGCATCCTGACTTAGCACTCCCTTCTTTTCTCAAGATTCCTGTTCCATTTTTCATCTGCTATTTTTCAGTATGTATCCATTCTTTAGGTTTTAGCTCAGAACTAACTTTCCTCAAACCATTCATAAGTTAGATTTTTCTTCAAATGTTTACCTATAGCAACCCTATTCCTCAAAACTACAATGCTTGGTATAATTATCTGTCACATTACCCTAAGTTTCAGAGAGCAGAGAGCATGCCTTATTCACTGGTGTGTTCTTTGGTTCTGGTAGATTAGATGTTCAGCAAATATCTACAGAAGGTTGAATACTTATCTTCGGGTTTGTGTTGTGGACCCAGTGCTTTAATGACTGCTCCCAGGTTTTAACAGTATGGTTTTGTATTTGCCAGTTTTTGGAGGACTAATGTTTCATTCTGACCCAGAAGAAGCACCTATTTCCCAAGGAGAATGTGGCTGTTTGATCTCTGTTTTCATCCATTTAATCAGAAATCCCCAATGCCAGATCTTCTGGGACTTGTGCCTGAGGCTGATGTGTCTGTAGATCTTGTGGTTATAACTCAAACATCATGGTCTTTGCTCAGATCTGAGGTATCAACACAGAGTAGAAAGAATCCTTCAGACTAATGAATCAGTACTTCTGAAATATGGCTGTGCATTTTAATCCATTGGAAAATGTCTGAAATGTGCATATTCTGACTCTATTATTGACCCCATGAATTAGAATTTCCTAAGAATAGGCACCAATTTAAATTTTAAAAATGTCCCTTGGTACTTTTGATATATAGCAGTATCTTCAAACCACTCTTCTTTATTCTCATTTCTACCTGAAGGACTACTTCCATGGATCCTGAACTAGGAAAATATAATCACAATTCTACATGGTATAAAGAAAAATGATAGATTAAAATACTGTCAAACAACTATCTAAATTTTCTTGAGAAATGAGATAAGTAAATATCAGATAAAATCCAATCAAGATATCCAAGAAAATGAATCAAATTTCAAACTGCTAAAGAATAAAATGCCTTCCGCTTTTTAAAGAACAAAAGCCAAAGTTTTTGGAGACCTCTCCCTTTCATCTCACTGTGTTTATTAACAATGGTTTGTTGTATGCCTGGTTATGGCCGGGCACTGTTGTAAGTATTAGTAGCATTGGAAAAAATCTGACCAAGTTTTTATTCTTTTTTTGTCCCCCTGATACTAGGAATGAAACCCAGGACCTTCATTTAAAACTACACCTCCTGCCTTTGTGTGCCTGCCCCGCCCTGCATTTATATTAAGGTAGGCTCTGGCTAAGCAGCTGAATTGTAGACTGGATTTAACTTTGTGATTTTCCTGCCTCAGTCTCCCAGAATGCTGGGACTGAAGATATGTCCTACCATGCTTTGCCAAAGTTCCTGCTGTCCTAGAGATCACTTTTTAGGTAAGGGACCAACCCATAAAGTACATAGTCATTAAGTATCTTGAAGTAGTAGTATGAAGAAGAATAAAGCCAGAGGAAAGGATAGAATACATACACAGAGGGTGATCAGAGGAGAAAACTGTAACAAGCCAGTGTTTGAGCACACAGACCTGAACAAAGTACAGAGTAATTCACAAGAGAAAGCTAAAGAAGAATCCTGTGGTGTAAAAAGTGAGCTCAAAGGAGTGGAGGAAACAGGGTTCACTTCTATGAATTAGTAATATTATATAAGTTGCCTTTGTGAACCTCAACTTTTTCATTTTCCAATGAAACAGATGTCTACATTTTACATTTGCCTGTCTTTAAGAGAAATGCCATGTACATTGACTTAAGCAATGTAGGTAAAAATCTTCCCATAAAAGCAAAAGCACCATGCAAAGAGAATCTATCAATAATTAATATGCTGATGGTGATCAATGTGGCCTTTATTCATAATAGGAAGCACAAATTTAGATTCACAGAGCTAAGAGGAACCTCAGAAAAATCTTACCTGCTTTTGGCTTTAAAGAAGGAATGATATTATCAGCTCACGTTTTAGGTCACAAGATTTCATCCTGGGAACACGAAGGGAGTGGTCCAAGCTGATACGCCTAGTTAGCACAGCAAGAACCCGGGTAACCCTGCTTCCTAATGCAGTGCTTTTTCTACTTGGTCATTTTTTCTAGCATCATTGTGTTAGTTACTTTGATTGCAAAAGTCCCTCTAATTTTACTTCAACATCATGCTGTGGTTAAGAAATTCAAGCCAGTCCCTTTACCAACACTGACCAGATTAACAAGGGGAGATGGAAAACCTTCTTGTACTATTGCTAGAGTCATAAATATCTCTCTTGTCGAATTAGCACTGGGGCTGCAATGCTTAACTTGAAAAAATGGCCTCAGCACTTTGGCCTTCCATCACTGTTAAGTGACATGCATCATCATCTGATATGATTTGGCCAACATAAAAAATGCCGGTGTGCACAAATGTTGGGACATTTTATTGAGAAATGGAGCTTGTCCAATGTCATCCTTCCTCCATCCTTCCCCAAGAAAAGGAGATACATGACTTGGTCTGCAATGCCTTATAGTTTGGGAAAAACCCCTTGGCCTGGAAGCAGGACAGCTGATTTTTATGACTTCTGGGGAACCAAAGCTGGAGCTGAAATCCCTGTAGAGATAAGATCTAGCGAGCAGATAACACATTGGTTTATTCTACACGGCGCTTTATTAAACAAATCACATAGAAAAGGTAGCATAATAATGCAATCTTTTTGTCCAAGAACTGGTCAATTTAGAAAGCCATCTTAACTCATACTCGCCACTTGGGGACCTTTGAGTAAATTATTGTCTCACTGGGAGAAGCCGGCTCATTAGGCTGACACATATATAACAATGATTACTTTATATTTTCATTCCCAGAAATGGTTGATAGATATTAATGGAGTCTATTAAAGACTAGAGACAGAAAGGATGTCTGTTGGAAGAATAGCCCTGTGTTTTATCTCTACTGGCTGGCTTTCAGTCCTTCTACTTGCAGGGGGAACAAATACATACATGGAATCCCTCCTATGTGCCAAGGAGGACTATTACATACATGGAGTAATTACTGTGTGCCAGCTTTTTTGAGTATATTTTTCCCATTGACTCCTGCTGACAATTTCTATGTTATTAATCATGGCACTAGTGTTATCTGTATTAAGCTGAGATCCTCAGAGAAACGTAGATTTATTTGCCCATTTGTATATCATAAGAAATAGACTCACACAATTATTGGATTTGCAAGTTGCAAGGTCTGCAGTATGGAGACTCAAAAGAGTTCCTGGTGAAGTTCAGTGTATGTCTGAAGGGCTGAGAACTGGAAAAGACAATGGTGTAAGCATCAGTTTAAAGCTAGCCGGCTAGAGAACCAGGAAAGTTGGTATTTCAGGCTGAAAATACATTGGTTCATTTTGGCTTTGGGATTCAGAGTGAAGCATCAACTATTCTAGATTATAAGCCTGCTGACTTAAACTGAACTGCAAAACATTGTCTTTCTGAGAAATGATAGACAGATATAGAGAGATAATAGACAGAAAAATAAATATATCCCCCAGAATGACTGCAATTATTATGAATCACAAATAAAGGCAAATAAAATAAAATGAAATAGTGCCATTAATGTATGTCACAGCACACAACACTATTGATTTTACTACAGGGTAATATAAAATAAAGCGGAGTAAAATCCCCAATATCTCTGCTAGCCAGCTTAGCGGAGGGCTCTCTCTTGTTCAGCCTGTTGATTTGTTCGCGTCTTCAGCTGAATGGAGCCCACCTTCCTTCAGGAGAACAGACAGTCCGCCTCACTGGTTTACTGATTCAAATGCCATTCTTACTGAGAAATACCCTCTCAGACACACCTTGAATAACATTTGTCTCGGTGTCTTGGCATTCTGTGGTCCAGTCAAATTGACACCTAAAATTAATCATCAGTCTCAGAGGGAAAAGGGTTTCCTTAAACATATTTTTGTGCCTCCAAGCTTGACTCTTTCCCTTGCAAGATGTTTTTTTTAAATTTCATTGCCTCTGACCACTCCCTAACCTAACTCTTTGTGTGGAACAGGATGTAATTTAACAAAATGATTCTCATTTTCTAAAGACATGTTCATGAACTACCACTGGAACTTCATCTCTTTCTCTTCTTTAGCACTGAGCTCAAATTCATTTCAGTTAATGGGACTGTCAATTACACATTTATGATCAGTCGTATATACATAATAATAGCTCATAGTGCTTTTACATTGCTACAGAAATCCGCACTTGTCAACTTCCACTCATTGGTTGAATTTTTAAGCACCTGCCAAAAGCTAGAAACTGCAGAACACTGATAATATAGAGGTAATTCTAATCTAATAATTGTTAACATTTAGCAGGCTTTGCTATATGCCAGACATGTTGTAAACATTTCGCATGTTGGTTTGTATTGAATTCAAAGAACTGCCATCTTCTTTCTGTCCTAGATGACTGACCTTCATGTAATACATCAAGAACAACTTCCTTCTTCTTCCCTAAGAAAGCCTGGCAGGAAGAAGAGTGCAAAAACTGACTCTTTCAAAAGACACTGGTCTTCACAAGGACGTAGACTCTTCATGATTCTCTTTTAGGGCTCCAATAAAAACTTCCTCCTTTTAATCCCATCGTCTAGGAGTGGTGAGAGCTTAATAACTGAAAGTTTCAGATTTGTCATGCTCCCCTATATCCTATGTTTGATAATTCTTGTTAGAAAATAAGTTATCCTTCCATTTCCTAGGACACTTTTATTTCTTTTGGAACTTTGAGTCCTTTTCAAAGGAGGAAGACATGTAGCTGGTACAGTGTTCTGAAGGACCCGTATCTTGTAAGTAGAGGAACTAGGACTGAGACCCTGGCAGTGTAGCTCTTGAGGTTATGCTCTTTACCACTACACTGTGGTGCAATAGCAGACATTGTATGTTCTAGATAAAGACTCTACCTAGAGCAACATCTTAGGTCAAACTCTTTATTCTTCTGAAAACTTCCCATTTTATTTACCCACTATTTTTCTGATCTCCAATTCTTAAATTTATTAAGGCCCACTTTTACATCTTCTGTGTGTATGTTCCCTTTTATAATCATAGAAAGAGTGTATACATTTTGGGGTCAATAAGCACTTGTTTCTTTGCAGTTCTCAACAAAGAGTGCATTCAGTCCTGGAATATGGTACAAAGTTTGTAAATGTTTCTTGATTGAATCAGAGGTTCACCAGCACTCTATAGGTGACTTAAGAATGGAAGTCTTCTTGAATAAGTTGGAATATGGAAAGAAGTAGGCTGCTAAAAATTATGTGACAAAATCATGAGTATGGATACAACTCCAACTACTCTTTCTCCCCAGCCTTGTGATTTTAACTGAATAACCTAGCTTCTCCTTCTCAGGTTAACTTTGTGACAGCAGCTACCACGTTTATGTCTTCCAAAATTAGTAGGGATCTTGGTATCTCTTAAACATTTGAAAAAATTTGTGCTAAATCATTAAATAAATGTATATTTTAAAAATAAACTTACTTTTTTAAGAGCAGTGTTAGGTTTAAAGTAAAATTAGGAGGACAGTACAAAGAGTTCCCATATGCTGCATGCCCAGTTTCCCCTATTATTAACATCTTACATTAGCATGGTACATTTGTTGCAACTAATGATCCAATACATTATTGGTTCATCATTATTATTAACTAAAATTTATTCTTGATTCAGATTTTCTTAGTTTTTATCTAAAGTTCCTTTTCTTTTCCAAGTGCCCATCTAGGGTACCACATTAATTAAATTGTCATATCTCAGACTTTCTTTGCTCTTGATGACTTTGAAACTTAAAAGCAATCCTGGGCATGTGTTCCTGAGTTGAGATGTTTGCTGTTTTTCTTCATGGTAGTACTGAGGCTCTGACTTGTTGGGTGACAGACAAAGCTCCATTTGTATCAAACTTCATCCCCCTTATGCGCTCTGAGGGGAACTGTCACTGTTGCTCTTGACCTTGATCAGTGATGTTAAGAACATTAGGTTTCTTCACTGGAAAGTTGAATGAAGAATGAAGTAGAATGAAATAAGTGTAAATAAAGTTTAACTGCTTTCTTTTGTTGTTTTTGCCGGTCCCATCTTTAATCACTGGGAAGTCTTTTGTTCCGTTCCTCTTCTTCTTTTGATGTATCCCCATCCTCCCATGGTTTTCTTTTATTTTTTTTAATTGCCTTACTTTCTTTTGTTACTAGATGTTCTAAGTTTCACTGGTATATTTCCTTATCTTCTCTTAGAATCAACCCTTTCTCATGAAGCCCTGATTCTTTTAGTAGACTGGCACTAGAATTTAGTACATGGGAACAAAATGTAATATATATATATATATATATATATATATATATATATATATATATATGGAGACAGAAGAAATAGGAAATGTATCCCCTAACAATGGTTTTATACTCCTGAAGACAAAATGATTTGTGGTACATCAAAACCTCTGTTCACTGTTTGGTAAGGTAAAAGGTGTTCATCTCCTTACAAATCTTTTCTAATCCTTCCAGTTCAAGAAGAAAACTTCCATTTGACTTAAGCTTGACAGTCTCCTTTTCTAATAAAGTGAAGCTGCCTCAAGCAAAAAAAAAAAATCTATCTAGACTTTAGTAATATTGTTTCATTGTGGTTGTACACACTGATATTTTCACCTGAGATTTATCACAAATCTAACTTTTCACTTACAATAGCAATATAAATTTTTTCTTAGCATGTGTTAGTCAGAATATATAAACCAGTTAACCGAACATCTCAGCCTGTTTTCTTGAACATTAACAGAATACTTGACACTGGGTAGTTTATACAGCAGTCTATTGAATTATGGTCACAGAGGCTGGGAAATTCAAGACAAAGGGATCTTCTAATTGTGTTATATGGCAAATGACATCAGATGAGCAACAGAGAGTGCACACAAATATTGAACTCTTACACCCTTTCACAATCTGCAGTGATTCATTCTTTCCTATGGATGCAGTTCTCATGAACTAAACACTTTCCACTAGACAGGACCAACCAACATGACTGCTTTGAAGATTAAGTTTCCAACATATGCTATATGCGGGACACATTGGGATCATACCACAGAAAAAGCAATATCAGTGATTTGTACAATGTGGGGAATGTAGTGAGTAAATGACTGAGTTTAAAAAACTGAAATAATCTCAAAATCCTCCTTCAGCTCTAGTATTTGATATTCTATATTATATTACATTCACATCTGAGTGTCATACTTGGGGTCGGAATATTGTGACATTTCCACCTGTGATTCTTGAGGGAAAAAATACTCTACTTAGAGCAATAAAATTATTTTAGTGATTTTCAAATAGCTGTTCACCCCAGAACAAGCATAACAGCCAGGTGTTTGCACATGGTCAGGTGAGAAATGCTAGGTAGTGCCTTGAGAGAGCCTTGGCTTCGATATCATAGAACTACAAACCAAGGGGAATGTTGGCTCTAATAGCATCAATGGATATAATCAAATGTTCATGAAAAGTGAAAATATAAAGCAAATGATTGTGACAAGCATATTGTCTAATTAAGATGAATGGGACATGCTTCTTCTTCATTTTTAATCTGTTAAATAAACAGCATATTAATAAGGCTTAATTATATCACCACATACTTAAAGTGACTTTCTAAAATAAAGTTTATTTTGATTTAACATATGCTCTTTGTGTGTTTCTTTAGCACTTTTACAAGCACCATACACAAACAACATCTTGAAGTAAATCTCTTGGATGTGATACCATCTTGATCGAAATTTCTTCCTCTTAATTTCTTGCATGATTCCAGATTTATAAAGTAATCTTCCACTTTGCAGATGCATTCTTTCAGTCCTAATGACTGAATACTAGAGAAGTGACCTTTTGGTCTTATGATAGTGGTCCTTCCTGGTTTTATTCTTTCTTTTCCATTCCATATTAGGTGGCTAATTGTTTCTGCTATTGTTATCTCAGAAATATTTCCTCAATCTGTCCTGATCTCAGCCCTTTACCTAGACGCAAGATAAATTTAGGTTCTTTAACTACCTTTCATACCCCAAATTATCACTGAATACCTGCTAGACCTTTTAATTAATAAATAAATGGGCACCATAAATCATAATTTATGCTTAAAGCCACTATTGCAAGGGATAAGTTACACAATAAATAGCCAGAATGATAGCTTCTCCCAAGGATATTTATTGCCCATCGCTGCCACAAGGTTCAAATCTCACTACACTTTGAGGTTCAGGGTTCTGCCACCGAGTTCATGGTTATCTTCATTTTGAGGGTATAATATTTTCCCTCCTTTGATATCAGATCATGAAATTCACTTCAGCTGCTAAAACATGAGCAAAACCGGCATGCCACTATGCAGCAGAAACTGTAAGAGCCATCACATTTATCTCTGTGGAGAAAATAGAAGACCCCCAATGAGTGAAGAACAGGTAGAATGAGAAGAGTAAAGAACAGAACTGTGACTCACCCAACACCAAAAGGTGACATAGCTAAGAAAAGAAATGTCTCTGGTTTTCCATGTCTCATAGACTTTAGGATTTTCCAGGGAACCACCAGCATTGCAATCATAGTAAAATATCTGTTGACATTACTTACCTACTTAACTGAAGCCACATTTATGTGGTCAGCCAATGCCTTGCTCCGTCTCACTTGTGCAGGAATGTACCCTACACCACAGCCTGTTTTGTCTGGAGTTTTCACTTGTGTTCAGGTGATTTATTCTGTTTAATGTTACTCTTTCCATTTATCCACCTGGAAACCCCATATTTATTCTTCAAGATACACATCAAATATAATTTATATTTTCTGGGTAAGATCTCCTCCTACTGAGTGTTGGTGAAGAAGAAGAAGAAGAAGAAGAAGGAGGAGGAGGAGGAGGAGGAGGAGGAGGAGGAGGAGGAGGAGAAGGAGAAGAAGAAGAAGAAGAAGAAGAAGAAGAAGAAGAAGAAGAAGAAGAAGAAGAAGAAGAAGAAAAATAATAATAATAAGAAAAATAAGAAGAAGAAGAAAAAGAAGAAGAAGAAGAAGAAGAAGAAGAAGAAGAAGAAGAAGAAGAAGAAGAAGAAGAAGGAAGAAGAAGAAGAAAAGGAAGACAGAAGAAGAAGTGCAGGAGGAGGAAGAGGAGGAGAAGAAGAAAGAGAAGTAGAAGGAAGAGAAGGAAAGAGTGGGGAAGGAAAGGAGAGGAGGAGGAGAAACAGGAGGAAGAGGAAGAGGAGGAAGATGAAGATAGTAGTGGGAAAATGGTGATAACATGACCCTGATTTATGTCCTCTGTGTATATCAGGGAATTATTCAAATATTCTTACAACTTTCAATTGATTTAATCTTTTCAATAGTGTTAGAAAGCTGTTCTAAGATTTTTATTTTCTAACGATGTATTAGTCACTTTCTTGTCATTGGGACAAAACACTAAATATCGGCAACATAAAAGAGGAGAGGTTTATTTTGCCCTATGTTTTTAGACCATAGTTGGCTGGCTGCAGGGATGAAACACAGTGGCGCAGGGGTATAGTGGAGGCCAGATGCTCAGTCCATTCAGCTTGGAAGCAGGAGAGAAGGGGGACCTGAGGGCAGGAATAGATCCATGAGGGTCAGGCCCTCCGTGAGCCACCTCCAGTGAGGCCCCACACCTTTACAGCACATTCGGCCTCTGCACTCCTCAACAGA